ATGTGGAAGAGTTTGGGCAGATACGTCCTCGGGAACATTTCCTCTGTCTCTGCCATCATGAGAAACTCCAAGGGAAATTGTGTGGTAAGAAGATATTGACTTCCTTCAGAGAAGCTACAAGGAACCTGGATGATCTCAAGGTCACTTTTGTCCAGTTGAGTGAGCTACACTGTGATATGCTACAGGTAGATCCTGAGACCTTCAGGGTGAATCCAGGAGATGCTCACATCCTCTTGCTTTGAACCTTGTGACAGCTCAGACAACCGAGCACCGATCTGACTGCAGCCAAGGATGGCTGTGGGAAGGGGCATATTGGGAACATTGGCATTGAGAGGACAGAACTAAAACCAAAGTGCCTAAGGAGTGCTTCTCAAAATCTGGAGGGACTTGTTTGAACTCTTATTGGCTTTTAGAAGAGACTTGTACAGAGGTGAGGAAAAGCAACTATGGGTAAGTGCAATGGTCTGGAAGGAACTTGAACTTTACTTTTTATTTTTCACTTTTTTTCCCTCCTGGAGGCAGAAAAAACCAAGGCCAAGCAGAAATAGCTATGCAGGCTTATGTTGGCTCCATATAAAGAAGGGACCTAGGGTTCGCGAATATATTGTTAAGGTTATTCATATATTGGCTGGATATTTGTACAAAATTGCTCCCAGAGACCCATTTCAACCTTACATCCTACAAATCCACTCTGTAATGGGACAGAGTGTCCCTGAGGGAGGGAAATAGCAAGAACATGGGGCTTGGAGTGCGTATGGAAAGACGGCTGTTAATTTTTGTTTTTCAGCCCACAAAATATGAGGTTGGTGGTGGTGAGAAGAAAGAAAAAGTGAAATCATGGCCACGTATTAGTCTTGTAGGGAGAACACACTTGTGTTTAGTGACCGAGCAAGATGCGAGGCATGAGGGAAATTGACATTGGCGTGGTTCTGAATGGGAGTTGGGTGGTCAGGTACCTGGAGGCCCACCTGGGACTCTGTTCGTTGTATGCATTTATTACCTCTTGCCGCCTCCACAGCTCCTGGGAAACATGCTTGTGACTGTTTTGCCAGACCATTTTGGCGAGGAACTCACTCTCCAGGTGCAGGCTGCCTGTCAGAAGATGGAGACTAGAGTGCTGATGCCCTTGCCCACAGAGATCCAGTAGTGTAGAGTCACCAGGAACAGCTTTATTTTCAAACAATAGCAATGGCAGTGGTAGTATTAATAACAGTAGTAATAATAATAATGGTAATAATAGTGCTCTGCTAAAGAATTCTTCAGTAATTGTCTTCAGTTCTACTTTTCCGATTGCTGTTAAACTTGTGAGAACCCCAGGAATTATAGGTTGAACTGTAAGTGTGAGTGTGTGTATGTGTGTGTATGTGTGTGCATGCGCAATTTCGCCATTCAATTTTTGTATGAAGTAAAGATTTTGGCAAGAAAATTAAAAAATAAAAAAAAACCAGGGCAATCAAAGGAATGTATGCCTGGGACATACGCCTGGGAAGAACATACACTTGGGGGCTCTTCAGGTTAAAGCTGAAGACATGCGGAGGGGCTCTGATGAGAGAAGACTGGTGTCATGGGACAAGAACTACTCTGAACCAGACAATTATATGGGCCTGAGTGAAGACTCCAGTGAAGACCAAGGCTCTGGATGGTGGTCGAGTTTCAGTGTGGGGATTCTTCGGAGGAAAATTAACCCAGGTCTTAAAAGGGCAATGTCCAGGCAAGGACTATAATTCCATTCTCCTGATAAGAAAGAAGTGTTTTCTAAAAGCAGCTGGTTTGTCACAAGCCCTTGTGAGGATAGATTAAGGATGGGAGGGGTTGGAAGTCTGAGCAGGGGATGACTCTTTGAAATCAACTCCAAAGAACTGGCCTTGGGCTTTACGGAAGAACTTTGTGGTTTAAGTGGTCAGAGCTACTGAGGAATGGTACATTACTTACATCCCATCAGGAGAGACCATGTACCTGGGGCAGATTTCAGAGAAGGGACAGCCCCGTGAAGTGCTCAGAGAGGAGGGGATTTAGGTGGGGAAGAAGGCAGCTCAGTGCAGCAGATGAGCTCTGCTAAATCAAAAGGAAAAGGAAAGAAATTGCACAGAGTAGTTGGGGAGGATAGATCACAGGAATTTTTGTTGGGCTGGAAGTTAATTTGGGGTTATAAGCAAGGCTGTAATGTAATAAACAAGACAGAAGATTAACCCGGCTGTGGGTGCTGAGTAGATTAGCGATCATACGGATGCCACTTTTACAAATCTCTACTGGTTTCCCATGCCTTAGGGTAAAATACCCACTCTACCTTCATGTGCCCTGGCCAATCTCTCCAACTCTGCTCCCTCCTACTCTTCTCTTAACATCTCTCTCGCAGACCTTGTAACGCCTTTCTCTAAAGGAAATGTCAAGTTTGTTTTTTTCTTTCTTTCTTTTTCCTTTTCTCTCCAGCCTCTGAGTTTTGCACCTGCCCTTGCCTGCTTCTGGGAACTTGTTTTGCCAAACAACTTATGCCTGGCTCCATCTTGTCATTAAAGTCCCTCTTCAAATGTAACTTCCTTTAGGACCTCTATCCTTATATTATTTTTCTCTAGTCACTTGCTACTGTGTCATCAGATGCATTTTTTTTCTTGTTATATAACACCCATCTGAAATTCTCTTCTTCATTGATTTAATTATTAGTGTCAGTCTCCTCTGCCCCCTAGAACGGGAGCTTGATGACACTATATACACTGTTTTGTTTTTCCAAGATTCCCAGTTTTTAGAATGATGGATGGCATGATTGGCTTCAGTAGATATTTGCTTTTTTTTTTTTTTTACTTTTTTATTTTTAGATTTTATTTATTTATTTGAGGGGGGAGAGAGAGAGAGAGAGAGAGAGCATGAGCCCAGGAGGAGGGGAGTGGGAGAGGGAAAAGCACACTCCCTGCTGAGCAGGGAGCCCAACTCGGGACTCGATCCCAGGATCCTGAGATCAGGACCTGAGCTGAAGGCAGATGCTCAACTGACTGAGCCACCCAGGTGCCCCGATATTTTAAATATGTGATGAATGACTGTTAACTGTTAGATGACCATTTCAATGAGCTAACATTGATGTGATAAGCTTCCAGACAACAGTGGGAACAGTGAGCATGGAAGTCAAGTGAAAGTGTGGAACAGCCATGGAGAGAAATCAAAAAGTCTTGGAAAGTAATTGTCTAGAGAAGATGAGAGAAAAGCAAGAGTTAGAAGTAATTGCCAGAATCACCATCTGGTTTGCTGGGAAGATGGGAGGCTGTTTGCCAACATTCAGAGTTGCAAATGCCCCTGAGTCTGAGGGGTTGCAGTGTGTACACACCGGGGAGACAAGCACCAGGGCCATCACAGAGCGGGGGACGCTGAGCCCTTCCCTCAGACCACGCCCACAGCTGAGGGGAGCTGGGATTCCTGGCTGTGGTCAGAGTTTCCTCGCTTTTCTTTCATTTCATTGACTTCTTCTCTTGAAAAAGCCTTTTTGGGATTGATTCACACTTTTTTTTTTTTTTTTTAATATCTCCGTACCAAAGTATTCACATTGTCACAGCTTGGGACTGAGAGCTCACTGATCATCAAGTCTGTCATGGTAGACTAGCTACTGGCACCTTAGCAATTCTTATCCACATTTTATTTTGTTTTGTTTTTCTACATTTTATTCTCTTGATCATTTTGCTACTTTTAAAAGATATTTTTCAAAGACATTCCTCAAATGCTGCAATTCAATTAATGCTTTATGAATGACACAGGTGGCGCTAATGAGAAAAACTCTGCATCTCAGAAGGCACCGCAGTCAACTGCCAAGCATAGTATGGCAGAACAATCCACATTTTAAATATAAGTCTCTTCCAAGATGAATTGATAAAAGTTCTCACTATCTCAAATGATTTCTTTTCTAATAGCAGAAATTCAACACTAATATATTGAGTTGAATTCTTTAAATTTTAGAGTACCTTTGTAAATACACATGGAGATGATGATGATGATGATGATTTTTTTTTTTTTAGTGAGATTGGTCTCGGGGAGAAACAAACAAACCAGCTTCCCGGAGCTCAAAATGTGGGAGAAATAAACTCTGAGAGAAAAAAACAAAATAAAATAAGTCATTCCCTCTCTCTCCAGAAGTGTGCCTTGTTTAGAACAATAAATGCTTGTTTGAGGTGCATGAGACCAAAATACCTTAGGTGACAGGGACAGTAGTGCGTGGAATACCGTCAGTGAAGATTGCCTCTGCCTCATTAGATATGAGGAATAGTTAAGCACAACAAGGGAGTGTGGATCCAGCAAATGCCAAAGACAACTGCCTTAATCAATCACTATTGCCACAGAGTCTCATATTCTCTCCATTGAACATGCAATTTTTCCCCAGTACTCAATTGTGCATTTTCTGACACAAATGAGTGGATACATGGTATTGGCCAGAGACACTGCTATGTAGTCAGAGTGAAAAAATGTACTCAAACAAGTACATATATTTTAATAGAACTCAACCACAATCGTGTAATACTAGTTCTCTTAATTATCCAGTTTTTACCTGTCCTGTTTCTGAACTGATGCTAGATTGGAGTCTTTTCTTCTTACAAGAACTATAAAAGTATAAGCCCCATCTAAGTTTTAGAAAAAATGGTGACCAAGAAAAGCTGTGGTTTCTTTTATACCCAAGGAGAACAACTGAATGATATCTTGTAAACACCTGACACATTGCCCAACAGATTTCTAATTCTTACGCCTCTTAATTCTAGTCATGCCTCATGGTCAGCCTACAAGGTCACCTCAAGGATAATGGGGTGGGGAGCTTGAGATAGGAAATGCCTAGTAGACGGTGGGGAAAGGACAGCAGAATCCCCCTGATAGAGGCACCGAACGCTATCAGAGACCCAGATGTCCATCCTGCTGACCCTCCCTTGTCCAAACCCCACCCCTGGTGGTGACAACTTACCCTTGACCAATGGTCTCATTTCATTGGGAGAAGCGAGGGCCTGGAAACTAGAAATGAGGAATAAAAGGCCACATAGAGAAGTAGCAACACAGACTCGCTTCTGGCACATTACTGGTCACCAGTAAACTCCCAGACACCATGGTGCATTTTACTGCTGAGGAGAAGGTTGCTGTTGTTAGCCTGTGGGCCAAGGTGAACGTGGAGTTGGTTGGAGGCGAGGTCCTGGGAAGGTAGGTACTGGAGGGGGGAAGAAAGGCAGAAAGTATTCCTAAAGGGGTATTGGTCAGTTTTCTTACCTACTTTGATTTCCCATCTCATCTGTGACTGTGATCATCCCATAGGCTCCTGGTTGTTTATCCATGGACCCAGAGGTTCTTTGACAGTTTTGGCAACTTGTCCTCTGAGTCTGCAATAATGGGCAACCCCAAGGTCAAGGCCCATGGCAAGAAGGTGCTGAGCTCCTTTGGAAATGCTGTTAAACATATGGATGACCTCAAGGACACCTTTGCTGAGCTGAGTGAGCTGCACTGTGACAAGCTGCACGTGGATCCCGAGAACTTCAAGGTGAGTTCTGGGCATGCCTGTGCGTTGTCTTTCATCCTAGATATTTGCAGTGTGGATATGCTAGAAAACACAGGTAGTTAATTCTGATCCCATAAAAGCATTTTTTGGGACATTATATTTCAAGGAAGGGCTTGCTTTTGGTAGTTCGGTTGTTCCAAAGGTCATAGATAAGACCAAGTAGGGTAATTACTATGACCAGAGGAGGCCACTAGCCGTCTTACATTTCTGAAAAAATACATGTGTGAAGAACACTGGCCAGAACTGAGTTAAATGTTTTTGGCTGGGAGAATACAATTATAGCAAGAACATCTTACTTTTGGTAACTGAAATTTTCTCTAAAAATGATGCATACATTTCTGTATGATTCTTGAGTTTAGAACCAGGTCTAAGCAAGACAATATAAGAGCAATCTTTTCAATGGACAATCTGACCCCCCACCCCCCCTTAGTAGTGATGAAATGCTCTTGTATACATGGCTCAAGATTCTTTGTCATGTGAGTGTACAGACAATTTGAATGAATGTGTTATCTGGGGACTTAAACTATACATATTAAGGCCCCTTACAGTCCTATAATCCTACTTTTAAAAAAGACAGAGTCTCTAGAAAAGAGAAGCCATCCATGGCAACGTTTTGGGCTTAGAAGTTGACAGGGCAAATGAGAGAAGGTTAGAACACAATGGGAGGTACAGGGCTGGGAGTCATACTGATGCCAATGTCCAGCATATTATGGCACACTTTCATGGGAGCATGGCCCTGAAAGTTGCTCACTCTCTTATTAGGAAGAAAATTGATGTGGCCAGCTTGAAACTTTCTGTTCACTAGACACTCTTTTCTTTTTATCCTACTCTTTCCCCAGCTTCTAGGCAACATGATATCGATTGTCTTGGCAACCCACTTCAGCAAGGAGTTTACCCCCCACATGCAGGCTGCTTGGCAGAAGCTGACTGCTGCTGTGGCGAATGCTCTGGCCCACAAGTACCACTGAGGTGCCGGTCCAACTGTGTTGGTGTTTACCAGAGGGACCTGAGTTCCAAGAGTCCATCTCCTGAAGACGGGCACAGCGCCCTGCCTCCAGACCCAACTGCTATATGATAAAAATACAATAAAAATTGTGCTCTGTAATGAATATCTTTGTCTTCTCTCTCTGTCTTTATCTTTTATGTTGATTCAGCTAAAAGAAAGCACTTCTTTAGGGAAGGGGGTTATTTGGGGAGGATAGAGAAGAGACTCATAAGATTCTGCAAGATAAGAAAGGCTTCAAGGGGCAGTTACTTCTAGGAAGGGAAAATAGACTCTGGAACTGAATAGGGTCTTCAGAACAAGGGAGCAGATGGAGGTACTTTTGGGAAATGCAAGAAGATTGTTGATAGAGTGAGTAGGGGCACGTTAGAACTCCAAGGAGGGGACCTGTCTAGGCTGCTGTTTTAATAATCTCAGAGCTTTTTGATGCTATATTTCACTTATACTAAATAATATAAAAAAACATGTTTTTATCAGCTGTAATATAGTAGAGATGGAACTTCCAAGAGACCCAGGCAAGGACCATGCTTTAAACTTTCCCTGGTGTTTTCATTGGTATTAATGGAGGAACTATCCCTAAAGCATGAGAACTAACTGCCTTCCTTGGTTTGAAACTGTACCTTATCTGCTAGCTCTGTGACCTGTAACATATTTCCGATTTCATTAAGCCTTCAGTGAAGATAAAAGGCCATTTATGTGGGAAAATGACAAATTTAGGAATTAGCATGCCGGGTCTAAGTGGCAGAAGAGAAACTGGCCCCTTAAAAACAGTGCAGTCGGGACGCCTGGGTGGCTCAGTCAGTTAAGCATCTGCCTTTGGCTCAGGTCAGGATCCCAGGGTCCTGGGATCAAGTCCTGCATCAGCTCCTTTCTCAGTGGGGAGCCTGCTTCTCCCTCTGGCTGCCCCTTCCTCTGCTTGTGCTCTCTCTCTCTCTCTGACAGATAAATAAATAAAACCTAAAAAAAAAAAAAAAAAGGCAGTGCAGTGATTTAGAATTAGGGACACTACTGCCCGGAAAAGAAGCTATTATTATAAGCAAAGTACCAGTGAAATTTCTTGCACACAAAAGTAACATGGTGAATAGGGAATTTTAGGGAAACGGATCCATGTGTGGGTATAGAACGGACAAGGCAGGGTCTAACTTGGATCTAGCCACAGGAATGTGCTGTGATTATAATGAGGGCAAAGGACTGAACTTCACAGAAGCAATGAAACTAAGAACAACTCAAGTAAGGGGCCGTTGTGGCGAAGATCCCACAGGACTTGGAATGAAGTGCAGTAGAGAGTGGTGAAGTCACCAATGACAGCTGGGTTTCCTGTCTGGTGAATGAAAAGAGGAAAGTCTATTCTCAGGACAGAAAATGCCGAGAAGTCTCTTGTTTGGAGCTGGCAACTGAGCACGTCCACTTTTGTAGCCATTACTTCAAATTCTGTACCCAAGTTCCCGGCATAGAAGTGAAAAGCCAGGGCTTTCGGATTAGCAGTAAAAGGTTAAATCCAGCGCCATCACCTTGAAAAGTTTGGTTAACATTTTCCAGCATGAATTTCTTTGTAAAATGGAATAAACATTCCAACCTCGCAAGTAGGTTCCAAGGTTTTAAGGAGATCTCTGTAAAGTGCTTTGGCTGTCATTATTGAGAAGGTAGTGGTAGCAGTTTATATAATACACTCTGATCTGTTCCTTTGTGCCCTGTTCCATTTTGTTTTCTTGACCTGACTGTATTCTTTATGAGCTCCAGACCCATATATCTAACTATTTGTTTGATGGTCCATATCTGATTGCTCAAGAGTGCATCAAATACAATATGTCAAAAAAACCCCAAAAAAACAAAAAAACCTCCAGCTGTTTCCTAATCTATTCCTGCTAATCTGTTCCCCATCTAGGGACTAACGCATCATCCATTGCTTGAGCCTGAAATAGAGATGGCATTTTTACTGTCCCCCCCCAACTATAATATCATCCTATTTGTCTTTCATTTATTTTACCCCTTAAACCGATTTATATATGGAAGCCAGAATAATTTTTTTTAAAAATACAAATCAAATCATGTCACCCACATCCTTGAAGTTTTCAATAGTTTTTCTTGGCTTTCAGGTTAAAGACAGATAACCTGTAACATAGTTTTAAGATCATCCATGGCTCCTCTGCACCTTCCTATCATATAACACTTCCCCTTGTGACATTGTCCTATTTTTTGCATATAAATTATATACATTGAATCATTGTCTCTGGTTACTTTATCTTATTTTTTATTTTTAGAGAGGGTGAGAGAGAGTGCCTGTGCATGCAGATGGGCCAGCTGCAAGAGGGGGTGTGGGGGAAGGGAGAGAGAGAATCCCAAGGAGGCTCCATGCTCAGCACAGAGCCCACCATGGAGCTAGATCTCACAACCATCATGAGCTGAGCCGAAACCAGGAGTTGGACACTTAACTGAATGAGCCACCCAGGAACACCTCTGGTTACTTTTAATTGACGTTATGTTGTACAATTCATCTGTATTTCTGCAAGTGAAGCAGTAGTTGATTCTTTTCATTATTGTGTAATATTTCGTTCTTTCTCTATATCATGATTTATCTATTCCCCTGAATGAGGAACATTTAAGTGGCTAGCAGTTTGGGATCATCATGCATACTGATGTTACAGCCTTTGGACTCACATAGGCATGCATTTCTGCATTTCTGGAAGAATAATTGCCAGCTCATAGGTTTTGCATATATTCTGCTGTAGCAGCTACTACCAAATATTTCCTAAAGCAGTTATACCATTTTACACTGTCACCAGCAAAGCCTGAGAGTTTTTTTGATCTACATCCTTGCTAAATTTTGAAATTGCTTATCTGTCTCCTCCTCTTCTTTATATTCTTTGCCTTCTGACTTCCATCCCATTCCATTCTCTTCCTTTCTGTTGGTTGATCTCTCCCTCCCTCCCTCCTTCCCTCCTTCCATCTAGCTGTACTAGAGGGTATGTATCTGTGGGTCAATGTAATATTATTTTGAATTCAGAAAAGACTAAAATTCCCTTTGAATCTTCATTTCTAGATCTAACTCTACTTTTTTCCTGAGGACACAGCTGGAAATTTCTGCACCTGCATTTTCCCAGAAACCCTGTCAGACTGGTTGAATAAGGTAAATCTTCATTGCAAATCCTCTGCATTCTTTCTTTAGTCATATCATAGTTTCAAATCATGTTATAGGTTTCTGATATTTTTTTCTTTATCTCTCATTGTTTCCATTAAATCCATGGTCCCCAGATCTATGTTAGTAGCTGGTAGACAAACAATATTCATTACTTTCATTCTTCCAATGGACATTTATTTCAGTGAAAGAATGGAAAGAAAGAGTTTTGTTACTAAAAGTATTTATCCAAAGAAGGAGAAAGAAAGCAAGTTAAAAGTATGGTAAAGCATTTATTCATTCCAACCACTTACAAATATCTCTAGAGACAAAGAGAAGTACCACATAGAGTCAACTTGATAGCATTTCTGTTCTCTAGGCCTTAGTTTTCTTATCTATGAAGTGAAAGAACAAGATGAGTTAAACTCTGAGAAACACTCCACAATATCAGACTACAGCATTTGCACACGAATGAGAGTGGTAGTATCTTTATGGAAGCCACTGCTGAAGGGGATGAATTGGGGAGGGAGAAAGCACAGATTCTGAGTCAAGACACACAACACCTAGAACGCCACCATCAGGGCAACTGAAGGGAACTGAGGAATGGGGATGCAACCTACATTCGCACAAACCAATAAGCTTCTGCTGTCTCCTTGGGCCAATCTGCTCACAGCCCCAGGGAGGGCAAGATCAGGGCTGAGCATAAAAGGAAGAGCAGGGCCAGCTGCTGCTTATACTTGCTTCTGACACAACCGTGTTCACTAGCAACCACAAACAGACACCATGGTGCATCTGACTGCTGACGAGAAGGCTGCCGTCACCGCCCTGTGGGGCAAGGTGAACGTGGATGAAGTTGGTGGTGAAGCCCTGGGCAGGTTGGTATCCAGGTGGCAAGGCAGGCTTACGGAGAGTGAATGGAAGCTAGGCAGGTGGAGATGGCTCAGGCCCCTGGGTTTCTGACAAGCTCTGACTCCCCTGTCCTCTGTGCTGTTCTCACCCCTCAGGCTGCTGGTTGTCTACCCCTGGACTCAGAGGTTCTTTGACTCCTTTGGGGACCTGTCCTCTCCTGATGCTGTTATGGGCAACCCCAAGGTCAAGGCCCATGGCAAGAAGGTGCTGAATTCCTTTAGTGATGGCCTGAAGAATCTGGACAACCTCAAGGGCACCTTTGCTAAACTCAGTGAGCTGCACTGTGACAAGCTGCACGTGGATCCCGAGAACTTCAAGGTGAGTCTGGGATATGCTCCGTTTTTTTCTTTTCACTTTTTAGTCTTTCACTCTGATTCTTTTCCTTACCTGTTCTCCCCCCACCTTCCTTTTTAACTTAGTATCTACCATCATTGAATGCCTTTTAATATTTACATAATTTCATATGTTTTCTTTCAGTATTCCACATTGTTTCCTTTCTCACAACCTCTTTTTTTATCAAGCTCTTCATTTGATTACTTATCTTTTGCCCCTCTCTCGCCCCCCCAACTTTTTCCTCTACTTGATACCCAAATTATGCACACTAGCTCTCATCTTCTCCTTCTGGACTTGAAAAAGTCTTTCTGTCTCTCCATATGGAGATTATAAGGGCTCTTCAAAGAGTTGTCACTCCAGAGACTACAAATCATCTCAAAATTATAGAATAATTGGGCATGTGATGTGATGAGCATAGGGTGTTATATGCAACTCATGAATCATTGAAAATTACATCAAAAACTAATGATGTATTTATCATATGTTGGTTAATTGAATTCAAATTAAAAAAAGAAAAATTGCATTTTTATAGTCAAGACTCAACGGAAAGGAAAGGAAAGGAAATATCTGAGGGTGATAGACCAGAAGTAGAAGTAGGGCAGCAATAG